CTTCTTTACATAGGAGACTAAAGTAATTATGATTATTATAGTGGTTATCTGCACGAACACTATCAAGGCTGAAGTCACTGTGGGATGAGAAAATTGTTTTGTCACAAATGTCAGTGGGTGCCACAAGGCTGCATCATCATCACTATTGGTATCCATTTGGCTTCCACACTGTAATGTTTGTGATCACTTCACTTTGGTGTACTTTCTGAAAGGTCCAATGGGTGAGAAGCGATAGGATTTCCTGAGGATGGACTGTCAAAATGTCTGTTAACAAAACTACATGACTCTAAATTTGTTGTGTTATTGACTAAGTCCATCTTACAGTTTGATTAAGACCCTGCTATATTAATTCGTGTAGGATAACAAATAAGATTACTTGACTCCTTCTGGCATGTGGCATATGCTGATAAAGGCAGAGTCGCCATGAAGAAAATAAAACCCTGGTTGTACCTGCAGTAAAATTAGTGTAAAAAAATGTACAGTACAGTATATTTTAATTAATGTTATTTAATGTATGTACAGTAGAAGTAACCATTGATGGTAAAGAAAAAAAGTGACATAGTGGAAGTGCAACGTATGTATACACGGACACTCGTGGAAACACAGCGTCATTTCTCTTGTGTACAAAAGATTCATTATTGTTTATTACTGAATGTCTAGTTGATTGAATTAATGTTTATGTGTGCAAAATGAACAATACAATTCACTAATAATACTGTATGTAGAATATTAAAACACACAAGAGGAGACGAGACGGCAATGTTTTCGTTATTGTTTACACCCGTGACGGTGGTTCTACATATGAAACTGAAGAAAATAAGACCCTGGTTGTAGCTGTAGTAAAATTTATGTAAAAATTTATATGTATGTTTTAATTAATGTTATTTAATGTAAATAAATGGAACAATAGAAGTAGCTAACCATTAATGGTAAAGAAAAAAGCCAAGGCACAATGCTAACGTATGTAAGTGCGCACACATGAAAACAGAGCTTCATTTCACTACATTAGAATATGAGAGCAACACTTATTAGTACAGTAAAAGTCCAAAAATCCGGATGCCAGAAATCCGGACCACCCGAGAATCCGGACTTTTCGAAAACTCAAACTTTTTTTTTTTTTTTTTTTTTTAGCGGGCTTTTGTGTGTATGTGCGGAGCGCCACAGCTGCACAGCGACTACAAGCGACCACGTAGTTGCCACTTTAAAACGAGCAATCAAACTGTGACAACATGTGAAATTTTGAGTCCTACTCTTTCCATTTACAGAGTACTGTGCAAGCCCATAATAATGGCTCCTAAAGTAGATAAACTTCGTTGTGTGAAGAGAAAGAACACGTTGAAATTGAGTGACAAACTTGAAATAATTAAGAAACTAGAACGTGGTGTGAGCAATACTGTTCTAATGGAAACATACCACATTGGAAAGTCTACAATTTATGATATAAAAAAGGCAAAGAATAAAATTCTAGAATTCAAAGCTTTTTCTTTAAAACTGCTCGTTTTGAAGCTTGCTATATTTGCTAATGAATAAATTATCAAAATGTACCTGTTCATCTCTTTATTCCTCCTTAAATTTGAATTTTAAAAGTACTGCCTAAGAATCCGGAAAATCCGAAAATCCAGACCGACCCAATCCCCAAGCAGTCCGGATTTTTGGACTTCTACTGTACAAGTTATTACTGCTTATATTTGTTTTAATTAATACTTATGAATATAAAACAAAAATTCTACTCACCAATGGTGGTAAAGTAAAAACATAAGGACAGCCAATGTTGCTGTGTGAGTTTTTACTCAGATGACGAAGTTCTCAAGTCATCAGGTTCTCCACCTGAAGCTGTAGGTTCAACTTGATCTGAAGCTGTAGCTTTCCATAAAGATGCCATAGTTGTTACTGAACTGGAAGCTGTTGCTGAAGCTGTTAGTTGTTGCTGAAGCTGCTGTTGATGCTGAATTTGATGGTGTAGTTGAATCTGAAATTGATGGTGTAGCTGTAGCTGAAGTTGATGGTCTAGCTGTAGCTGAAGTTGATGATGTAGCTGTACCTGAAGTTGATGGTGTAGCTGTGGCTGAAGTTGATGGTGTAGCTTTAGCTGAAGTTGATGGTGTAGCTGTAGCTGAAGTTCATGGTGCAGCTGTAGCTGAAGTTGATGGTGTAGCTGTACTTGAAGTTGATGGTGTAGCTGTAGCTGAAGTTGATGGTGCAGCTGTGCCTGAAGTTGGTGGCATAGCTGTAACTGAAGTTGGTGGTGTAGCTGTAACTGAAGTTGGTGGTGTAGTTGTAGCTGAAGTTGATGGTGTAGCTGTAACTGAAGTTGATGGTGTAGCTGTAGCTGAGTTCATGGTGCAGCTGTAGCTGAAGTTGATGGTGTAGCTGTAACTGAAGTTGATGGTGTAGCTGTAACTGAACTGAAGTTGGTGGTGTTGCTGAAGTTGGTGGTGCAGCTGTAACTGAAGTTGGTGGTGTAGCTGTAACTGAAGTTGGTGGTGTTGCTGAAGTTGGTGGTGCAGCTGTAACTGAAGTTGGTGGTGTAGCTGTAACTGAAGTTGGTGGTGTAGCTGTAACTGAAGTTGATGGTGTAGCTGTAACTGAAGTTGGTGGTGTTACTGAAGTTGATGGTGTAGCTGTAACTGAAGTTGATGGTTTAACTGTAGCTGAAGTTGATGGTTTAGGTCTTCAAATAATAAAACTGTCTAAAGAATCTTTCACAGCTGCTTTCTTTTCTCATTATGCATCTTTATGTAGAGGTCAAATGCATTTTTCACGTCCCTGTTAATTTTAATGCTTTGTTCTGTTAATGGATCCACTTCAGAAAATATGTCCATTGCTTGCTCCATATAATGTCCACAGACCTCTCACCTTTTTCATATTGTTTTTAGCACATCTAGATTCTTGGCTAAGCTTATACACTTTCTTTTAGCTTTTGAACCAGCATTACCATCACTTGCTCTCTTGCTCATGTTGAATAGGGACACAAAAATGCTGTAAGAAACCTGAGAAAGTATTTCTCCTTTTCCTGTTCAGATGCGTGAAAACAAAGGGCCCTCCAGCTGCGACTCTTTACGCTAGTGATGCTGGCATCACCACTCACAAGCCCGGCAGCCTCCGTGCACAAGGCGTGTTTTTTTTATATATACAGTACAGTATTTGTAAAATATATATCGGGATTTAGTTATTATTTAAATGAAAATTTAATTTAATTTATTTTTTATTATATTTTTGTTGTAAATATGAATAAAATAACGGTGTAAATTGAATTGGGTCCT